ATTTAATATAATATATATTTATATTTATTTAGAAAGCACCCTTTATACTAAAAGCAGCTCAAGGTGCTTCTCATAGCCCCTGAGACACACAATGCTAAAGTCCTGGGAAACGCCACCTGCTGCGGTATACGTCATCGCACGGTTTTTCTTCTCTGGAGTCTACAATTCAAACTGATTAGTGGAGAATGAAAACGAAAACGCAGTTTCCACTTAGTTTTCTCAGTAGATGGGTAGATGAGCAGCGTTGAAGTTGAAAATGGAAACACAGTTTGGATGTGTCAAAAAATGCAGCTTTATTTTGAAAATGAAAACGTATTCTATTAATGCATTTTAATTTGAAAATTAAGATACATTTGCTTCCATAATTTTGGCCCAAAACCAGGAAATCAAAAAAGCATTCTTTTGACAAAACCAGTTCCTCTGGAACAAAAGATGGCACTTATATGGAAGGCCTTTCTTGCTAAATAGTTTGGCCTTAACACAAGTTCTAAAATATAATGACATTGCTGTAGTTTGTCTGTTGTGTTAAGGCATATTTTAACTAATCTGTTCCTTGAAAAGTACAACCTGTACTGAGATGACCCTTATCACAAGTCACTCAGAACAGAGCCCACACTATCATCCCCCCAACATCCAATGTTAAATTCCATTTCACTCCTTCCACCTACACCTGTGACCCACCCAGATGCTTGGTGCGCTTGGGCAAGTGGAGTTACGATGGCCCTTGAGGATTTTTCAGGGGCTTACTTGAAATGTAAGAATATGAGCTGCACTTAGGCCTGTCAAGATAACAAATTTTACTGTTTGATAAATTGTTTCAGAAATTATTGCGATAAATGATAATATTGTAATCCCCCTGTTTASAGAAGTTTACATTAAAATTTACAAAGTGTAAGAAGAAAAAGCTGTCTGCAATCTCAAGGCATCGCCAGCTGTATGAAGGCATCAGAAAACTGAAGACACTCCTCTGGTTAAAAGCCTGTTCACAGGCTGTCATGCTACAGAGGTTAGGAGACCATGAACCTGGCTAATACCTGACATCAGAGTGCGCTCCTCTCTACGCTAAGAAGTAAAAAAGAGGGAGACACAAAGAAAGCAAGCAAGCAGGCAAATGAAAATCTTTGTCTTCACTTTAATTTATCTTCTTCAATTTATTTTATTTATCATACACTTAATTAATTTATTGTTTATTGTGACAGGCCTGCCG